ATATAAAGAACATTATTATTTTGTTTATAAAAGAAAATAAAATGTCTCTTTTGAGGAAGGTCTTTTGAAACCAGGGTTAAAAACAGGTGGAAATGTTTATTACCCCTCGGGGTGACCCTTACATTGGTAGAACCAGTTAAAATATTTTTTATTAAATCAATTATGTGTTTTGAGTGTTCTTTTCTTTAAAAAACAACTTTTTATTTTTATTCCTTATTGTAYACTCTGCACCTCAACAACACCACGTCACATTCTTTGTACGTAACAATACTTGGTCAATAAATTATGTTTCGAATCTGATTTAAGGGTAGATTTAAAAGATTTTAAACTATTTTAGCTACTGGGATCGCTATAGTCTTTGCAGATTAAGTTTTATATAAGTCAGCAGTGAACAACAACAAAGAATGAGAAATAATTGATTTCAACTCTCAGGGCCGAAGAAACAACAACAGAATGTGCTAAACTTTAACAGAGCGACATTCTTGTGTTCTCCACAGTTTATCTTTCCTGCCGCTGCCCAGCAGACCCCACCTCCGATCCCCAGCACCCCTGAATCAGCCTGGTTCACATACACAAGATTAAGTAGCAAAAGTGACATCCAAGACCAATCGGGCCACCCAAGAGAACCACAACCAGCGGAAAGGCTGTCAGAGCCCCCTTTGGCAGCATTAATCTTGGAGCCTCTCCTGCTCTGCCAACTCACATCTCCTTCAAACGCGACAYGGAGGCAGAAGAGTGAACCCTCCCTCCCCAAAGGTTTGCTCCTCTCCATCAATTCACTCTTTGGGGGACAATTCATCGTCACCCGCCATGTGTCAGGCAACTTCAAACGCCAGCAAAACAAATGGCTTTTCCAGATTTTTTATTCAAACTCTTAATTTAACAACAAGGAGATTAGCGTGGACTCTTTTAATCCACCTTAATGGTTTTATAATGACACAGGGGGCTGAACTTMCAGTAAAAAATTAGGATTTGTGTAAGATTTATGAGCAAAAGCAGTACTTTAAACTGTCTTTTTCAGAGCTGCGAGGACCTTTCTGTGGCCTGTTCCAGCCATTAACGTCGTTTAAACGATACATCAGCAGGAGAGAGATGCTAACACAGACGCAGAGGGCTAACTTGTGGCATCTTTGATCTCTTCCAGGAGGATGACGGTTTGCAGTGATCAACCTGAGAGCTGCCTGAATAGAAAAGCAGAAAAGAAGAACGCAGAAACCGATGAGGAGCGGGGGTCCACCTGAGCCCTAACTTTCATGTCTGAGACCCCACAAGTAAAGACGTGGAACCAGCTAACAGCGGTGTGCCTCGAATACCTGATCTGGGTAAGACTGGAGAGTACGTCAACATTGGTTTACTACAGCACTGAAGGCAGTAATGTTCTGTTTTCTGTTGCTTTTCAAAATATCTCTTGAACCAAATTTTAATGAACCATTCAGAAAGTAATCATTTCAGGGAACTCTACAGTCAACCCAATTTAAGATCTGCATCTTTCATGAAATGTTGTCTTTCATTTTCTGCCCCCGGTGTTTAGTTCAGCTGATCTGTGCTCCAGTATCAGCTCAACGTTACACTTTTCCTGCATAACACCAACTTTATTTGCTTTGTGCTTTGGGGGAGTTAGGTGACCCTTTTCTCCTCAGAGTTTCTTCTCGCTCTACAAATTGCTTTTACACGTGTCTGAGGGGCCGCCGCAGTCTGAGCCCGACCACCTCCAAACGTGCTCTGCCTTCTAAATGATCCACATCACGGTCAAAACCACCTGCAGGTGGGCTGAGACACTCCCCCTGTCACACCGGACCTTAGACATACTTTAAGGCACTAATGTTACGTAAAATAAAATAATAAAAAAACAACACAAAGAAAATAATCTAGAGCAATGGTTCCCAAACTTTTTATCTTATGACCCACAAAATATTCATTGAAAAACTTGTGACCCCAAATATTACTGGTCTGAGTACACAAACTTTGTTAATAACCCTAAAAACAAAGGCTACACAAATATAAAAACTTATTTATACTTATTTTGTGTTTTGTAATAATTATAGGGAAAACATTACATCACCAATTATTTTATTACCCTTTAAATTGATTTCTGAAGTGCAGTGGTTCCCAAACTTTTCAGCTTTTGACCCACAAAATAACAGCAGCAGAGACCTGTGTCCACAGCTGTTTTTGGATGATAAACATTTGTATCAAGTCAACAAAACATGGGCATAGTAACAATACTTATTATTCTACATTTATACATTTTAGGCAGCTAAGGCAAAAATGTAATTAATATAGAAAATCTTTTCAGGACCCCACCTTGATGATTCAGGACCCCACTKTGKGTCCYGACCCCAACTTTGGGAACCACTGATCTAGAGAATAAGTGCTGAAAAAGAAAGGTTTGGMTGAATAAGMTGAACCTGACGTCTTAAAAAGACTTGAAGTCTGTAACGAAATAACAGAAAACTTGCTAAAAGTACAAAGTAGCTAAAGGTTTGTAGAAAGTAGAAAACTAGCAAAAAAGTAGCAAAAGGCTGAAAATTAATACTGCTGAATAAAAACTAAAGTTAACAAACCTACTAAAAGTTGCAAAAACTAGTGAAAAGAACCAAAAGACTAAAATACTACTGGCTAAAAGGTAAAATCAGCAAGTTTACTAAAAGTAACAAAAAGTGAGCAAAAAAAGCTGAATGCTGGCTGAAAATAAAAACTAGCCTACAATTAGCTAAAGCTAAAAATAGCAAATCTGCTAAAAGTAGCAAAAAAATAGCAAAAAAAAGGCAAAAGACTGGCTGAAAAAAATTGTTTGGTGGGTAAAGCTAAAAATAGAAAATCTACTAAAAGTAGCTAAAACCAGCTAAAATAAGTAAATGGCTAACTAAAAATGAAATAGCATAACACAGTCTAAAGCAATTCTACTAAAAGTAACAAAAACTAGCTAAAATAGCACAATGCTAACTAAAGACACAAAGTATTAAAGGCCTAGCGAGAAGTTCATAGTTGAAAGACTTAACAAAAAAGTAGCTAAAAAATTCTAAATGCTAGCTAAAAGATAAGAATAACACATTAAACCTAAAAGTAGGAAAGGTGGAAATGTGAAAATATTTGTAAAGTGAAATCATTGCACCCATGGTGAACMAGCTGAACATTTCAATAAACGCCTGAAATTATGCAAAAGTCTGCAGTAATAGCCAGATTGCAAAAAAAAACAAAACAAAAAAAAAACACAAGTAAAAAAAGAAAACTATTAGAAGTTAAAGATCTAAATGGTGAATATGTGTTCACACTGTTAAAACTGTTGATTGGGTCRTTGTCAGATAAGTTGTTGAGGATCTTTGCGTTCAGTCTGGACCTGAACTCCAGGATGTTCAGATCTGAACCTTTTCCTTCTGGTTGCAGAGGATCATCCCGACATCTCTGTTTGGTTTGGCCTGTCATCGTCCTGCAGCCTGAATCCTCCTCGACGCCGTTTGTTGATGGAGAATCTACGTAGCTGAAAACGTAGCGCTGTGTACGATGACAAAGTCACGTTTCTGGAAAATCTATTAAGGAGGATCTTATGGAGAAAAACGAGCGGATGGGAATGTCTTTTTCCAGCCAAACTAAATAAATTWAAAAACCTGTGAACTCAGAAACATCATCACTTTTGAGGTTTAAAAAAAAGTTAAAGAAATAAAACCTAGAAAGTTATAAATCTGTCTCACTTACAGACATCGGATATTAGCTGAAAACTCCTTCCAGTTGAAAAAAGTAAATTATCTCAAAGTGTTAGTCGTCAAATTCTCCAAACCTTTAGGTGTCTGCTTGTCTGAAGCTTTAACCCAGTCAGTTTTACAGATAATTTGATGAGGTAGTAGCTGAGAGTCATTCACAACACATACTCTGAGCATCACAACATTCTTATTTTCAAGTTGCTTTTTTAAGCAAAAACCCTCAAGTTTCCTTCAAAGAATCCAACCTTTATTTAACAAGTGGATGTTTCCTCCAGAAAATGGAAGATTCATTCCTGTAAATAAGGAAAAAAGCTAAAGATAAATAAAAATATAGCTGGTTTAGTTGGCTCAGGTTTTCTCATTAGTCAGAAATGATGAATAACAAGCAGCAGTCTTTGCGTAAACAGGTTTTTCTCAGTATTACTTGTGACAAGGTTTTGTTTGGACCGTATTCTGTAATTAATGTGTGATCTGTGCCCTTCAAAACAAGCTCCACGGTGTCCTGAAAAGCCACAGGCCCGGAGCGGGGAAGCTCTGCGTGCGTCGTGGCGGCAGAGCGCGACCGAAGGCGGCGGTGTTTGTTGACATCATGGAGAGAGGCCTGCGGAGGCTGCTTGCGTGTGTGGAGGTGTGCGTGTTGTTTTGAGAAGCTCCAGCTACAAAATAAGGTGTTGGCAAAGGTTCAAGGAGAAACTCTGACACCGGCTCTTCTGTCCAGCTGCTGAGGCGAAACAGGATGCTGGCCTTAATAATGCTCTGTACGCTTTCCAGCAGAGTGGAGGAGGGTTYTCATGGCAGCAGGATAAACTCTCATTTGTAAATAAAAACAAGTCAAGATGGATGAAGACTTCTTTACTGGATACACTGAACTTTTGCAGAAAATTCTAATTTGTTATGTACTCTGAAATAAAAAATAAAAAAGCAAACTGCTGTGTGTCACACCACCTCACTTTGCAAAACTTTTATTGTAAGCACCCAGCTGGCGAGGCCAATTATTACTTCATCCAAAAAAGCAATTAAAGTTTAAGACGCCGTAAAACACTGTCATAATGAGCAGGTGCCACACTGTAACTGTTGCACAAATCAGACTGAGTAAATTCACCAAATGTGTGAAATCTGTGTTTAAGTATAAGGCAAAAGTTCAGATCCTCTGGAGCAGGGCTGTGCAGCAGGGTTATGAACAGCTAATATCTTACCTGTTGTAGACAGCACTTTGATCAAATTCAGTTTGGAGAATTTGTTTAATATTTAACGGACTGGGGAGATAGCTAGCCTGAGTTCAAGGGCAGCAGTTTTAAACACTTGAAGAGAACGGCCACTGTCAGGATTGAGGACAAGTTCAGTAAATTGTCAAGTTTGTTTGAATACGACCAAGACGGGGGTGTCGAACTCATTTTCACTGAGGGCCACGTGAAGGTTATGGTGGCCTTCAAAGGGTCATTTGTAATTAACTTTGACATTTCGTGTTTAGCTTCACTAAACAGGAAACATCACGTTTCTCGTCTCATTGCTATGGCTGAGCAGCACTAATAAATAACTGAACTCTACGTGGTGTTTCCTGTATAGAAACAGTGTTTTACTGTAACATGTCCTCTTATAGCTACACACTGAAAAGTACCATGTGGCCGACTGACTAAATGTGGTATAAATTATACAGAAATATTACTAAAAGTAAAGGTTTTATTCACTGAGTTGTGATAAGTCTTGAATTCTGATCTCCCACTTTCCAACAGGGAATTCCCATGTATAAACGACATGTATTATGGGAGATGTAGTTTGTAGTCAATGCTGACTTTAAAGCAGCTATTAATACCGCACTATAACCTGGTTAAAACCAGCCCCTTGTTCTTCGCTTTGCTTAGAGGGTCTGGACTCTCCATTATTGAGAAGTGATTGCTTGCCGGAGGCAAAACGATTGGATCTGATTTACCCAGTCACTAACGTTTGGTCACGATGTATGTTTGCGCCAGCTCCACCGTGAAGGAGGCTAAGAAGCTAACCGGAAATTATGTGTAAACAACCCTACTGAGAGGAGAGAAGTACTGAACCGAACAAGACGGCTGTAAATGATGCTGCAGGTTTTGTCAGGCAAATTTAATTTGGAAGCCTTATCAACGCTGACTGGCTTCATTCACTTCCTGCACTGCCATTGCTAAACTAACTAGCAGACACTGTGCAGAAAATCGACGTTGTCRTTCAAAACTCCTCTTTCTGTTTGCTGATTGGCTCAGGTAAAATTCTACGGAAGAAATCCTCGTCTATGGAAGAAATCCCAGGCAGAGCAGTGAAGGGAAACTAGAATTGAGCTGAACTGCATAGGAAAGCAAGGGCCAGGCTAACAGCACTATAGTTTATTTACTTATACTTAATATAAAATATATTTTTATATTAAAATAGGTTAAAAAAACATTTGGCCACATGTCCCACGGGCCTTGCGTTTGACACATAGAGAAAAATAATCAAAAGTGGGAAAAATCATGTCAGAAATTTMTTTTTAATTCGACGCTGTATAGAATCCCACTGAGCTGCCCCGTGGGATCCTGTTCCTCTCAGCTCTTGCACATGTGCTCTGACACCACAGTTTCTCTGGATACAACACACAACAGGCTCTCATTAGATCTTTGTGGGAGGTAAACAACTGCACATGGAGGACGCAAGTGGATGCTCCAATGTTACGCTGACACTGACCCTGGAAAGAAAGCCTAGCTGGTAAATCTTTCTGCTGCGACGCCTTGACATTTGTTTTTATTGTTTTCGAGGAACCGATAAAGTTTGAACTTTCTGTAAGGGTAGCACCAGGTGCGATTAAGAAACTAAAGAGTCCTAATGCTGAGAAATCGCAGTGGTTTATATGTGCTGTGCGTCTTTTTTCTGTGTCAGAAGCGTTTCCATGGCAGTTAAAGTGTTTGGCCTGAGTGTACGCCTCAACACTCTGAGCCGATGTTTACGGCGGGACAGATCAGAGCGGTTTTATCGCTGATGTTTGCGTTGTAATGATGGTCCTGAACAATGCCACTGCGCTGCCATTCTCATTTCACATAATTTATTGCGCTTATAGGCCAAGACTGGTGGAATGCTTTCAACTTTTATGATACAAAGTTGTGCCAAGTGGGKTTTTTTTTCTTCCCTTCTTTCCCCCGCTGCTTCTCTGAGGGGTTTTCAAAGGGGAAAAGCAACACATGCTGTCATTCATGCCCTCGCTGCTCAGATGGGCCATTACGCTCATATCAGATGGGTGCGTTTGATGTGCCGAGTGACGGAGCAAAATAAATAGCGAGCGCGAGGCTGTGAGAGATTTGCAATGCAGTGCGTTAATTAACGAAGGTCTACACCAATTAGGCTCCCATGATTGGTGTGTGAATGTCAGCGCAGTCACGCAGTCCGGGACTCGGCGCAAAGTAACACCACTGTTCACTGAAACACAAAGAGCGTAAACAAGCGCTGGCAACGAGTGCAAAGCTGAAGCATCTCAAAAGGTTACAGCCTTTTCCAAAGATTTCACTCTTACCTCAACTGTTTTATAGCTTTATTAAAAAACATCTAGCTCTTTACGTAAATGTGTTCTTTTAAGCTAAGCGTGTGATCGCAGTAAAATCGGACGAGTCAATCTACCATTTCCCTTTTCAGATTTCAGTTTCAGAACACAAGATTTTTCCACAAATAAAGGCATAACAATAACTGTCAGATTCAGCTTTTCGGAGAAACGTTTAAGTCGTTTTATTACAAACATCCTAGTTTAGTTGTTTGTCTTCACCACATGTGGTCATAAACTGAATAATTTGAGGTTTGGGCAAGACGCTTGTGCTTTTTGCAAGATGCCATGTTGAGCTTTAAAAACCTTTTTTTCTGTCATTTTATACCTCGAATATGATTTAAGAATAAGTTGAAGCTTTAGCAGCAGTTGAACAAATGCATATCGCCTGCTGCCTCTCTCGCCAAGACTATCTTATGTTAAGAAATGACAGTGTTGGGACTAAAATTTTGCACGTTCTGATGCCTTATGGCGAGATGTCGTGCTCTGAGTTTGCACAAAAGTTGGAGATGTTCAACCAGTGATTATTTCCTTGAAGTTTCATTAATGTCTGTTCGGTGATTCACGAGAAACTTTGCTGACAGAGTTAATAAGTTTGGTATTTACCATTTGTACTGATTGTATTTTATTGTATTATTGACAAAATGTATGCACTTGAGTCATTATAACCTTGTTTATTTTTAGCAAGTCCAGGGACAACAGATGAAAAGTAGCCTTTGGCTAATTCTGGCGCATTTACAGAAATGTAAATTAATGTTATTAATGCATTGTCCCTGCCAAATAAATATAGAATTTTAAACAAAAATGTTCTGGTATGTGTTGGGGATCACTCTCGGGTACTACCACGCCAAATTTTAGGTTAAATTCACCAAGTTATAGGTATTTGTGTTTTTTTTATGGTCAGTTGGCTCTGGCAGCCATCTTGATGACTCTAAAAATCCATCAGTTGTAGGCGTACATCCAATGATTACTTTAATTTTTTTCTTCTGTTTTCTGAAATATTTTGTTAACTAAACACWGATGTAGGCATCTGCCTTCACCTTTTGGGAAAAGGGAGATCAAAATTGCACCATTTGGCTGCGAGGCTCACTTGAAACCTCATTAAAGTGCCTGTGACATGCCTATCCTTCAAATACAAAAAGTCAAAGAAAACATCTTTATACTTAAGAAAATTGGCATAGTACAAACTATTTTACCCATTTTGTCATAACTGGCTTATTTTCTTTTGAATTTGGCTCAACCAAAGTGAAACAGGAAGTGACATGAAAGGGGAACTCATTAATAAAAACACTCTCTGGTTTTTGTTTATTAAAACATTATTTAAACTTTAACTCTTCTTCGTCTCTCTGATAGTGACTAAAACTAATCTAAAGAAACATCAGATTCTTCTCTACAGTCTGTTGTAGCAATGCTCTGTTTACATGCAGACATTCCCCTTTGACATCACTTCCTGTTTCTTCACATGTAAATATCTCAACAACTGTTCATCTCAGCAGCGTGAAATTGGTTTTGCAGTATGTTATCATTGTTATCTTTCCAAAATGCATTCATGTTTATTACAAAAATTTGATGTCACAGGCACTTTAGGGTGAACATATTGAGATCATGCACCTTTGGAGATGGAGTAACCTGACCACTCAGATGCTGCAACAAGATTGTTGAAAGCTCTTATTTGTTGAAAGCTCTTATTTGTTTGTTTGTTTGTTTGTTTGTTTATTTATTGACTTTTATTTAACTAGGGAAATCCCACTGAGAGCACAGATCTCTTTTTCAAGGGCGGCCTGGGCCTGAAGGCAACCTATTGTCCATGTTTTTAATCTGTGGGGGAATCCRGAGTACCAGGAGAAAACCCATGCAAGCACAAGAACATGCAAACTCCACACAGAAAGTCTCCATGTCTCAACCGGGGATCAATCCCAGGACCTTCTTGCTGTGAGGCATCAGTGCTAACCACTGATCCATCGCGCAGCTCTCCAAACACTAAAACAGTTTGGCTAACCAGACAAATTGTAGCTGGCTTTGGGTTGCAGATCTGTGTGTTTAAGCAGGTTCTAATAACATGTTCACTTTTGTTTTGATGTTGGACAACTCGATAAAGAGCACAAACACTTCATTAATCGACCAAAAAAACCACATTAGGTAGTCAGTAATGAGGTGAGTGTTTGAAAAGTAAAAGCAATAATGACCCAAATGTTTAGCTTTTGTTTATATAATTATGCATTTATTGACAGGGCTGATAGAAGTCTGCTGTGAGACACACGGAGGACAAACTAACAGATGGGTCTTCCGTTTACTTAGCGGACCTCCTGGTCCTCTTATCCCAGGAGAAGTTTGCCCCRTAAGATTTCACTCGGGGCTTTGAGGTCCTCTTCTCTGTGACTTCATAGCTCCAACCTGAAGGACAAACATCAGAGTGAGTGATGGGGACGAGAACGTCCCGTTTGTTCACTTTGGACGGGTTCCAGCAACAATGAGGTGTTTTGTAGACATCAACAGGCTGCGTGTTGTCAGAACGTCCCTAATCATTTTCATGGTACAATAAACAGAAAAGGGCCAGTTTCCTTTGCTTGGGTTCAGCAAACTTTCCCAGATGGTTCAGTTCTCTGAGTCAAAGTGAACTTGACTGCTGCAAGACAGAAAACACATCACTCACGATTAACTGCAACCGGCCTGTTTTCAGCTGTCGCTTAGGCCTTCAAGACCATTCTCTCATTGCTTTAATCAGTTTGAGGCCTCCAGTTTGTTTTCCAGATTTTACTACCATCCTTCTTCYCTAATGACCGTCTTTAGGTTTAAAAAGCTATTCCATTAAATGATCATTAAAAACTTTAACTTATGTAGTCTCAAGTAAAAATGTATAGTCTGCTCAAATCACCTTAAAAAGCACAAGTTGTTCCCAGTTGGAGTGATTGAATAACTCAAATCTGTAATTGGAATAACAGTAAAATTACTATTTAGACTTAATTGAAGGATAGAAACTGTGGAAATGAACTAAGTGACCCGGCACCAGAAAGAGGGCTGAATATATTTAAAAACAATGGTGGGCACAGTTCCCCTAAAGCACTAATAGGGGAGCTAATTTCCTGATTAGTGCTTTAGGGTTTTTGCTCATTTTAAAATGTATTAATGGATTAGCACTTGCTAAATTTAGAAGCACTAACTGAGTTCTATAAATGTTATTGATCAAGGTTAATATTAACAGCTGACGGTGAAAGCTGTCACACATTTTCTTCATGTGTGTGTCACGTATCAACCAGGTGACAATATATATAAATAAAGCTGTGGAACGTCAATGATAAGTCTTAAGAGAGCAACATGGCAATATATGACTCGTGTTGTCTGTTGAAGAATGTTCATGGGTTGACTGGGTTACTTTAGTGCTTTAGAATTAGGGGACCTAAACATTTGAGTTAGTGTTTAAGGTCTAGTGGAAGCAATTTTTAGTGTTGCCTACCACTGTTTGTAAATAACTGGAAGTGAACTATAAGTAGTTTTAAAGGGATCCATGATTAGTTGTAACATTAGACTTTATTTGATAAACATATATTTTAACTGTAAAATAAAGGCTGTAAAAATAAATGGTAAATGGTACTGAACTTATAGAGCGCTTTTCAAGTCCCTCCGGACCCCAAAGCGCTTTACACTAACAGACAGTCACCCATTCACACTCACATTCACACACTGATGATGGCAAACTACACTGTAGCCACAGCTGCCCTGGGGCACACTGACAGAGGTGGGGCTGCCATGCACCGGCGCCACCGGACCCTCTGACCACCATCAGTAGGCAAGGTGGGTGAAGTGTCTTGCCCAAGGACACAACGACTGAGACGGCTGGACGAGGGATCGAACCAGTGACCTTCTGGTTCCAGGACGACTCCCCTAACCACTCCGCCACAGCCGTCCCATATATACTGTAGGATGTTCAGTTTCGTAAATTTTTTAAAATATATTTTAACACTGACAGGGCCATTTTATTACACACAAAGCATTCTGGGTAAATGATGACGTGGATAGGTCGTCAGTGTGAGCGAGCTATATCCACCCTGAAGGTTAATCTTGGACAATATCTGATGATTGGCTCTTTTAAATGAAACCAGAGAGCGTTGACAGAGAGGAGAAGATAGAAATGACTCAGCCTGTAACTGAAAATATAGATGGAGGACAACAGAGCTGCTTCATGGAAGAAGAACCTCAGCTTAGCCTGTTAGCCTTTGCGCTAGTGCCAATGCTATATTGCCTTATATGTATTAGCTCGGTGCTAGCATGACAAACAAGCTAAACTGAGGTCCTCCATCCATATTTTCAGTTGCAGACTGAGTCATTTTTGTGTTCCCCTCTCTGTCATGTGGATGGAGGACCTCAGTGACGAGAGGAGAATGTGTAGCGCTAAGCTAATACATATACATGGTGATAGCGTCGGGGCTAATGCTAAAGCTAACAGGCTAAGCTGAGGTTCTTCTTCCATGAAGCAGCTCTGTTGTCCTCCATCTATATTTTCAGTTACAGGCTGAGTCATTTCTACCTTCTCCTCTCTGTCAACGCTCTCTGGTTTCATTTAAAAGAGCCGATCATCAGATACTGTCCAAGATTAACCTTCAGGGTGGATATAGCTCGCTAGTAGCCTCGCACTGATGACCTATCCATGTCATCATTTACCCAGAATGCTTTGTGTGTAAATAAAATGGCCCCGTCCGTGATAAAAACTGTATTTTACAGTCTTTATTTTACAGTTAAAATATATGTTTATTAAATAAAGTCTAATATTACAACTAATCATGGATCCCTTTAAAACAAAAACAATTTTCACAACCTATCTTCTCTTGTGCTGGTTAAAAAAGGAAGTCTTTTCTTTTTGTTAGAAGTCCTTCAGCTCCGTAAGCTAGACATATGCAGAGACTCCAACCAAAAGACCATGTACAAAAAGGGGAAAAAACGGGGGCCGAGTAGGAAGCCTTGAGGAATTTTCTGAAGCAATTTCTCATTTTAACAGCAAAGTCCTGTCAGTCAGCATGTTCAACGCTGAGATTTAATTAAAAGTGATGAAAGAGGTGTACACTCAAAATGTACGATGGGCCACATTTTAATGCCAGGTGTGAACACGTGTCATTAACGCTTTTCTGTGAATCATCAACAAGACATGCTACTTTTAGGCCTGAACAGGCCCCGAGCAACATGGGAGCTGAAGTGGACGTGACAAAGTCATTGAGGACCTTTGGGAAAATTATCAGGAAGATCAAAATCTAAATCATATCAGTCATGGTTGTCAAACTGATGTGTGAAAAAATAGCAACCAAATACAATATGTACAGTACATGTGTCAAGCTTATGTTAAATATCGGAAGAAAGGCCTGAGGTACTATTTCTGAAGATAAGAGTAACCGTTTGTCACAGCCTTTTTCTAATTAACAGTTGAACTTAAAGCTTGAATTCTGCAGACGTTTTACACATGAAAATGTTAAGACAGTGAGCAAAAATGGAATAGAAAGATTGGAAAAACTAGAATATGCCCACTTTTTGACTGTGCTCAACTAAATCATTTGAATCACAGCTGAAAACTTTAAATAACTCTTTTACCAAAGTTTATATTAATCCAAACATAGTCTGAAAATAGATCAAACTGTTTACTTTCTGATGCAGCAAAAACTAGTTGACAGTTTGGTGGTTCATCATCCAGGATATGGTTATCCTAATAAGTCAAATGAGAAGGTAAACCTGTTCAAGAATCCCATAAAAAGAAATCTGGTTGCCCTCAATTCACCCTACTGCTTCAGTGGTTGGGACCATTCACCATCTACCACCATTAAAAAACTCCTGTTACAATAAATATATCTATGGATTGTCTGTTTACACCCCACTATTCTCATAAAGCTAAATGCTTTTTGCTTATTGTTTTTTTTTTCCAGGAAAAAAAAAACTTTTCAGAAAAGATTTCTTACCATTTTTCTCAGCAAAAGCAACTGCATCTTCTTTAGAGGAGAAGGAAAGCACCATGTTGGATAAAGGATCCGCCCTGAAATGTAAAAAATAATTACCTTGAGGTTCCCAGAAGGAACGAGTGGATTGGTCAAAGTTTAAAACCTTTATGGAAAATATTTTTTAAGACTCCTGAGACAAACTCATTTCAGTTCAGTGAAACGGACATTGGCAGGTAGAGGTCAAAGTTTCTTACGAGGAGCACCAGCCCATCAGTGGATTCTCCCAGCGTTCTCTGGTGTCGAAGTCCATCTTCCACTTCTTGGTGTTGTTGATCCCAGACTGCATGGCCGTTTTGGCAGGGACATAGATGTGAACCTTTCGGGTTATGATATGCTCCTCTGGGACCCCTGTGAGAAGGGATATATCCTAAGGTGCAAACAGAAAATCCAACAGAGTTAATCAAATTTCAAAACGGGGAAAACCAAGAAAATCTAGTGTTTTTTGGCAGTAGAAAATGTAACCATATACAGTATATGACTAATTTATCAAAAACTAAAACAAAGTTTGATTTCTGCTGACTGAACTTCTAACAAGAGAATATTTTTGCTTACAAACGTTACGAATGACATAAATGATAAACTATATTTCAACATAAGACTTTTGTCACAGCCTTTTTCTAATCAACAGTTAAGATAAAAAAAATCTTAAATCTGTGGTTGGGAAATAAAAATATATTTGTGAAAAACAACCCCATAAAAAAACAAGGTCAGAAATGGAGAATCATGCTAGGCTACTGTGGCCTGCATGCTARCAAATGTTATGCTGGTAAACTAAATCTTTTAATCAGATCTGTATTAAATTACAAAACTTAAAAAAGGGATTAATTGAGCAGTCAAAGCGCTCCATTTCATCTACAATGAGAGTGGCATGTTTTTGGTTACAAGAAGTACTCCTACTTTCTGTTTTCCTTTTTCTCCTAAAGATGAACGAGCCAACAATATCTGTGTCACTGTTCCAAAGGATCATCTGGAAGTTCATTCACAGGTGCTCGAAAATTACAACTTTGGGCTCTGACAAAATGTTACTGACGTCAAAAAAAATTGTGTAAGGAAAAGGTTGGCTGTAAAAAAGGATTTATGCAACCAACTGCTTTGTGTTTTTAGTACATCATCAATCTGAAGACTTGTTTCAAATGTTTTTTTAATGTTAATAACTAGTAAATTATAAAACTAGGTCTATAAACAAACATTTTTTAAGATATAGTAAAAATGGTTTTAAAACTGCTGGGTGGTATTTTTTATCAGTTCTGTGATTTATTAACATTTTTGGTGTCATTTCTACTGGTTTCCTTTAAAACTGTAGAGTTTTATCGTGAATAAATAACAGAAATATGTAAACAAACAAAAAAACGAGAGTACAGACACCTGTGGCAACCAGTTTTGGAGCTTATGTCACATTTGATTTTGTAGTTTTACAAAATGCCTATATATGTAYACAACTGATGTAATTGATTAGTAAATGGTTTTATTGCTTGTGCATCATGGACTAAAGGTATTAACAATAAACCACACCATGTCAAGAAAGAGACAAAGTTTAACTTAATTGAGGTTATCTTATTGAGATGCCTTGTCTTCTCTGATGGCTGCAGCACTTTATAATAAACATATAATGACGTGCTCTTGTTTTGATAGATGAATAATAGTGTTGTTATTAAACAGTCGCTTTAAATAAACATATTAAGCTAAAATGTGAAGTATTTAATACCAGGATCTACTTGCACACTGGTCATGGTGTAAGTGAGTTGTGTCATTAACACATCAGAGTTTAGGCCAGTGCTTAAAATGAGCTTCACTCACCGCAGCTCTTTCWTTAAACAGTAAATATAAGTATGGAGAAAATAAAGACGCTTCGCAGAAGAAACCACACTACAGAAGAAGTTGTACAGGAAGTAAAATTTTCAGTTTTTATATGCAAAACAACTTCACCATTGAGGTGAAGATACTGTAACTAACACCTGTAACAGGCATTCAMTTCATAATATGGTCTTTTCTAAGGTCTATACCCAAAATGTTTGGCCCAGATGCTGAACGGAGCCAACAAAATGAGACTAAGCAGAACTCACTTCAGGCTCCAGATCAAACATATGTAAAGAAGTTCAATAATGGATTAAAGAACAAAATAGAAAAGAAAAAGAAAAACATAAAAGCCATTTATATGCTATAATTTATATACAATTACATAGTTGAACTGAATACCTAATACTTAAGATGATTATTTCCAGGCCATAACAAAGTGGAGCAATGTGACAATTGGAGGGGTGGGACGGGCCTGTGGACACACTAAACACATATTCCTGGGATCCTAGAGCTCCTTCRGGCTCCTATCAAAGATCTGGTTCAATTCTTTAGGGAATTAGCAAACAAGCAATGGGAAGTTGGCGACAAAACACAGACGCACCTCCCAGCACGCAGACAGCAGCCACCCAAGACTGAGAGCTTTCCAGGGTGCTCTCCTTTCAATTCAAGAATTTTACACATTTCAATGGCCATTATGACTTCAAAGAATCTAATTTTCATCATTGTCTGTCATCTGCCAGTTGATTTGTAGAAAGGGGGTCACTTTCCATGAACCTCACACAAAAGCCCGCCTTTCCTTTGGCGAAGGAGCCTCCAACGGTATTTAAGTCTTGTAAATTGCAGGTCTAACTGCTAAACTGCTGCTTGTTTCGGCAAAACATTTCTTGCCGTTCTAAGAGCCGAGAACGGACCGAGTTCAGCCATAAACAAGATCTGCACATTGAAAAGACTTTTAAAATAAAAAAAAGAAAACAAACAAAAGGGAGGAGGGGTGGACTTCACAAGTGCTTGGTAATTATTTCCGGCTGCCCCATCTACTTAACCTTAACAATTCCTTCTTGTCACAAAGAGGAGGAAAACATGTTCTCCTCACCCAGAGGGGGTAACGGTTCATGACACAATAACACACAAGACAGTGCTGCGCAGCAACAACATCAGATGGGCTTTCTCCAACCTGGTAATTGGGAAAAGTTTTAAAACACTGTTTTATGCTCGATGTAAGATTTTAAAGAGACAACGTTAAAACCATCTGAATTCGAGTAAGAGACACGAAACACTTCATAGAAGTTTCAGACAAAAAGACAAAGTCTGTTTGAAAAATCTTCAAGGACAAAGGTCTTGTACAAAGAGTACCGTCTGAAATGAGGTAAATCAAGTTTGCTGTCAAAATCAGTTTAGCATTTGTTGTGGAGTCTGCTCTGGTGGCTGGATCCATGAGAAGTCCTCTTTGAGAGACCGAAAAAATAATACCTCTGGGATTAGCAGGTCAGACTGTGCAGTTACATAAACTATATTTGACAGATGGGGGTCCGTGTATGGCACATTGGTGCGGTAATTTGTCCAGATGTTGCAGACCTTAAATCATATCTTAGGCGTGGATGAGCACAAAAGGTCCTTCATAAACCAGAGGGGATGTGCCAAAACAAAAGCGCTGCCAAAATCACTGAAAACACTCGGCTCATTATCAGGCCTTGTTTGCAAAAATACAAGTCTAGACTCCTATGATACTTGCTTGCATTACACTGAGAGCTCGGAGGGTTATCGGCATAACAGGCTCACCCACAATACCCAGATTCACAAAGGGAATGATTGTGGCTGGAATGTGGTGTGTTCCCAGGAGGACTAGAAAGGGCCATCACAAAAGGAAAACCCACACGGTGGGCACTTTTTCTTCTGCCATGTACAGGAAGCAAAATGAGAACTATCAAGTTTGACACTATTCACAGGGCTTTCACGGGGCCCTTCAATACCTGGCTGGGCAGACAGAATGCCGAGCTTATAAAGAGGAGGGGGGAATGGCTGGCAGAGTGTCCGTCACGTGAAAGCGTGTCTATATTTCTGACACCTCCTGGATATGTGCCAAATAAAGCACATAGGAGCTTGTCGCGGTGGGGCTGCTGGGCCACCAGACTGCTGAAAGCTGGTACCCCTAATTCTCCAACAGAGACCTGGGATAGAAGATTTCTGTGTAAACAACAAAGAAGTCTCAAAGTGCTTTAGTTTGGGAGAAAAAAAATCTTTAAAAATGTCTGCAAATTGCTGACTAAAACACTTATTACTCATGTAAATCTATACAACCTGGTTTTGCTTATTATCAATTAAATCAGAAATGTAATCCACATTTTGTGTAATTTTTTTTTTTTGGGGGGGGGGGGAGAGGAGGAGGAGGAGGAAATACCAGTCTGATTCCTCATTTTTTTTTCTTTCTTTTCGAGTCCAACATTGGTTTGTGTTATCCTACAAGAAGCTGAAAAAGGGTTTAGCCTTTTTGTTGGTTTTTAATTTTTTTAAATGAAAGCCACAGTTATTCCAACAAACTGCCCTAAAATCAAGGGCTTGGCAGTGATTTTTGAACACTTGAAGTCTAGTTAAAACAATGTGTTTGTCAGCATTTTACACCTACCGCTTACAGACAATCCCAGCATCTTTCTGCCATTGTCGTTTATTTTGAAAGTATTATGAAGTGGAAACAACAATCACAGGTAGAGTATCAAACCTTGATCCATTACACTTGGGCTAAAAAAACATAATGAAAATAATGATGCCCTGCTAGCAAAGTTAGTGGTAGCACATGTCTCAGTACTCAGTCTCTGCTCCATAACAGAATTTTTCTGATGTAGGATGAGATGAGTAAAAACTAACCAACTAATTAAGGAGCGTTTTGCTTAAAATGCCCATCCCTACAAAAATCACAAAAGTAGCTCTGTATTATTTGTAAATGACTAGAAATGTTCCATCTTCTGTTGGGACAAAAAATATAAATATTCTCAAGACCAAAAATCTAAATTTGGTCCAAAAAAATTAACAAAATAAAAGCATAGAGGATGAGTAATGCAGACATGACACCAACATGTTGAAAAGGAGGGTTAAGACGGGATTTTACCACCTAAAAACTTTCGCTGAGTCAGTTCTTTTATTTTTAGATGCRAAGTTCAAATGGTGAACAGCAGAAGTGCAGTGATCGGGTTACAAAGTAAAATGACAGAAATTCATTGTAATAAAATAAAAAAAACAGGCTAGAATTTACTTTTATTTTGTATACAATGTTTTGTATTAAAGCCTAGTAGCTGATTTTGTTTCTGGGTTCTTAAAAACTAATTTATTTCTATACTTTAAACTGAAATGTACCATTGCCATTTTTCCTCCTATCAAACTTTTTTTTGGTAATTTTGTTGTCTCTCTCTCTCTCTCTCTCTCTCTCTCTCTCTCTCTCTGGCAAAGTAAACAGATGTCAATGAACACAATTGTTCCATCTGAATTAGTAAAAAAGAAAAAATCTGGGCAACAACACGTCGTTTCAGTAAGTGTTCTTCCAGCCACCACTGTCCTCATATCGTTTAACACATCTTG